TCAATGGTACATACACCATGCCATAATAATGGCATACACCTACACATACTGTAGAAATGGGTCAAGATGTCAAAACCCATGCTCTAAATGAGTTGATGTCTCAAAGACCAAACCTTAGTCAAAAACTGGGTAGTAGTCTTTGACCATAACTGCAAGTCCTTCATCTGCAAGAAGTTCATTAGGAAACAGAGACCCAGTATTTGGCAGGGAGAATCAACAGGAGGGTTCTCCTTCCTTGTCTTATTAGTCCAAACAAAAGGATGATGGAAAAACAAAATCTGGAAGAAGGAAGAAATCAGGCCTCTCTATTATGTGAAGTAAGATCCTCCTGGACTTCTCCAGATTTTCTTTCCTTCTTTTTAAACATATGTCTGCTTTTGTAAGTTCCCTCCTGTCTTTTCTGCATAGCTTCTTCCCCCTCTCTTAATAAAAAAGGGAACAATCATATGATTATGTATTTTAACATTGAGATTATTAAAGTGCTTTCTGAATCTGGACCTCAGCGCTATGTTGAGCATTAAAGATTGATATGAAATCTGCAGTTTTGACTTTTATTTCTCTTAATATTTTGATTTTTGCATTGAAGAGAAAAATATATTGGAAATAAGCATTAAAAATACATCATAAAAATCAGCCTGTGCCTCTAGTCACTAGAGGCCAGGTGTGTAAGTGCAGCATGCCCTGTGGCCTCTACCTTTCACGGGCGAGGAATGGCAGGTGGAGGCCAAGGCTGCCTGCTGGCTAGGCCAGGAAGAGCTTTTCCTCAGCTAGAAGCTATTCCTCTGCAGAGCAACCCCTTTTCTCCCTGCCATATAAGATGAGAGGAAGTAAATAAATCAAGCTTGCAGTGCTTAGGCACTCTGAGGTGGTAACAAAAAAACAAAATTAATTTTAAAAAGTTAATCAGAGACAAGCCTGAAAGATTAATAATACAAAAAAAAAAAAAAAAAAAAACTTTCTATTTTGCCATTTTTCCTAGTGCTTTTCCTGCTATGAAAACTAGTATGCTAGTGCTAGACTATGTTGTGGCTGAGCATCAGAAAGAAAACAGCTTCAAGAACTAATTATCAGCGCTACAATCACCAAGCAGCAGCCTCGCAGGATAAAGGGAAAAATTATCTAAGTTTCCAGGGGAGCACTAGGAAAAGCTTCAATTAAAAACATGTTTTAAAATCCCTGAAACGCTCTAACACTGTTTCTTTTTTAATTAGCTCCGTGGTCCTCGTCCCGGATGAGTCGGTGGGTGCTCGGAATCCCAGGGGACACGGGGACAGTCCTGTCTGTGGGCGGCTGCTGCGCTGGATCCTTTTCTCCACAATCCAAGCACCAGGATTTTACAGCACGCTGTGCCACCGCACAGGTGTGCTTACCAAACAAATCACACCCACAGTCACAATAATTAGAACTCTTTGCCATTGTTTCCAGACATTCATTGTTAGATTAGGGAACAAAAAACTTTGCACAAAAAGAAAAAATCTTTCTCCACACTCAGAGAAATTAACTGAATTCGGCAGCCCATCWTAAGGTCTCTATTCATAAGGCAGGTGTTAATTCTACAGTCTTTCCAGCATCTTCGTGTTCCTTTTTTTCAGGGGTGAAAAAGAGATTTAAACAGGTTATTTGGGTTAGAGTATGAAACCACTTTGGCGTCCTCCCCCTCAACATTTGATCCTGTCCTGAGGGCAGCTTGGCTGGAAAAAAAGGATTAGAAGGTTGGACTTTACATACTGTACTGGGCACATCTGGAGTGCGTTTTACTGGAACAGGATATTGGAAAGGAGAAGACCTGGCTCGGGCATTCACAGATTGCACGGCCTCGGGCAACTCATTTGCCTTTTTTGCCTGTTCTTCCTCCCACACCAGTATCCACACAGATAAGGAGTCATTTCAGGGACGTGTGATGTTTCACTCTCTATCTCCAAAATGCTGAGCACAATGGATTTCAGTACCTTTGGTGCCTTCTGGATACCTCAGGAATTTCCTGAGCTCCAAACCGTTGTGGCTCACGGAAGCATATTTAGGAAGCACTGCTATATGACCGCTCTCTTCTGTTCTACTCTATCTACTCTATCTACTCTATCTATATCTGCTTTATTTATTATGAGAGCCAGGAGAGAAGGCCATGAGAACTGTTGGTCTTACCCAGGGCAACTCTTTTACATTCTTACGTACTCCAGTAACCACCTGGTAGACTTTGCTTGATTTGTACCTTTATTTCACAATTCATTTTCATGTGATGGTTTTTTTTTTCATACATTTAGAGTCAGGGATGATTCAATAGTTATTATATCTGTCAACTAACAGCTTTCCTGTGAATGAAAACACTTTGCCTTCCTTACAAATGCCTTTCCAGCCCCTAAAAACATTTAAATCTACTGGAGTTTTAATAAGGCTACAGAAGTTTATAACACAGTGTTAGCAACTCTAAGAAAACCAAAACTGCTCCTTGTTTCAGTGGAGTTCTTCCACCAGAAAAATAAACTGTGGTCAGTGGGTAACCACATCCCCACAGAAAGAATACCCAGTTTCTCCAGTATAACTAGTCAGGTACATTGTTCATTTGCTTGGCCTCATTCAGAAAATTCTCCAGAGGAGAAAGGCAACCATTAAACTGGGAACTGTTAAATAATTCTCTTTTGCTTACCTGCATGTTGGGTTTCTGTAGCTTTTGGTAGTCAGCTTGACTCATATGGTGGCCACCTTCTTTGGGGACAGGCAGGAAAGTGCCAGGCTGGAACAAATCAGTCAATGTCAGAAGCCTTTTCATGTGTTCTTGCTCCAGTCTCTTCAGCGGACAATGTCAAAAGCTATRAACAAGTCTAGTTAGTTATGAAGCTGGTCAGCTTAGCCCACAACCCAAGGTAGCACCTATGGCTGTTATACGGTGGTACACATCAGGGAAAAACAGCCTGTCAGGGAAGGGGGAAGAGGAGAAAATGACTTGTCTCCTCAGTGTGGACAGCAAGTCACAACCCAGTAAGAGAAGAGACATGTTTGGTACTTAACTTTGGGCCCCCAAAAGGATATGACTTTTAGGGACACTAGAGATCAGAACCTTCTTAAATCTCCCACCACCCTGGCCCTTCCAGCCACCCCCTGTAGAACGGAAGTTCTTACAGGATCAATCTCAAGGAAACTCCAGGATAACTGGGAAAAATACGGGGCCAAGTGGGAACTCAAGGAAACCCAACACCTACCAGTACACACTGATGAGGTTCTGTAACTTGAGACATTGGTGAGGATATTGGATAAAGTCTAATGTTTTTCTGAAGGCAGTCTTAAGTAACAGCAGTGAAGGGACATGCCCATGCTAGAAGTGGTTGGCTCTATCCTAACTGTGATACTTAGCTCTGGGCACATCACCCAGTCTGCAGCTGAGGGAGATGTACCAAACCTGAGCCCTCATTTCCTTCGAATGTTCAAGGAAGCCAGAGAGTAGGTGGTTGAGACACTGACATCAGATCCAAGAAGACAGATTTAATTCTGATGCTTGGATCTGTATACACTGCACAAAAGTAGACTTAGGCTTATGGTCTCTTATTCACAGGGCAAGAATAAATTTCAGTATCCTCTAGGAAGAGAGAGAAGCTAAAATAGTAGTTGAATCTAAGACTGTTCCAAAGCAGAGATGAATAAACTCAGCACTTAAAGGTGGAAACAGCTACAGAGTGAAAACTCTCTGTCAGTCTGCTGGGATTTGGCCCAGATAAACCATCTCAGAACTGAAAGCTAAGTATCTGTATGAACTTAAAGAGAAGGACATAAATTCCTTCTATAACTGAAGAAGGCCCTAAATATTTCAGAAGAGGCAGCCAGGGGAAGAGAATGTGGTGTAAAAAACATATTTGGAGAACTACAATGGAAAGGTAGGGATAGAGCAGGAAAAGGTGGAGATTAGCCATATGTCTTGAAGGTCATAGGATGACCCCCAAACTCTCTTCTTCTTCCTCAAAAGAAGGGGAAGGAGGGATAAGGAGAGAACATTGAAGTAAATCTCTTACCTCCTCTTCTTCCAGCCTACCATATCTGGATTTAGCAAGACAGCTCAAAACAGTGACACTGCCTAGTTGAGTTGCACTCCCACCTGGCMAAAAAAAAATGCTTAGACAACCTGCTGAGTTGCTGCTTAGCTGTCTGCTTGTGGCATACTGGCCATGCAARACAGGACTAAGGAAACTTTGAACCCTTCTTGCTATGGAAAATGTGTGCCATAACATTTTTGGCTGAGGATCCAAGAGCGACCCAACACAAGGCACTGCTTCATCTCCTCCTGAGAGGCAAGAGAGGGAAGAAGTTGTAGAYCTTGGCTGAAAGTCACAGAGATGAACAAGGCACTAGATTCCCAAAGGACTTTGGAGTGCCTTGGTGAGACCTAAGTCATGTTGTAGAGCCAAGGCCCTCGGGAGCCTTTGACAAGCAGGGTGAGGAGATACTAGGAGGGAACACCTTTCACAAGTGATGGCTAGCAAGAATTTGCAACAACATTCTCATATTCAAGAATCAGTACCTTTAAGAAGACCTCCGTTGGATTTTTAAGAATAAATGCATAATGGCAAAATTGCGTTACCTCCAGCCAACTTTAATTACAAAAGTTAGTGACTCAGACCTTATGATTTATGGAACACCAATTTCTGCTTCTACTGAGAAAACTCTTCATTAAAACAAAGCTCCATCTAGATGAGCCTCTCAATAATTTTGAGAAATGAGCTTTGGCTGTCTGCACATATTGCACTGGAAGTCCCCTTTTCCTGTTTAAAGAAAATAATATTTCCAGCTTTAAATGCTAGGTCAATTTAAATGTTATAATGTTTCACAATCGTGTATTTAAACACAGAAGTCTGTTTATTTACCCAAACAAAACAGAGGAAATGATTCCAGCCCTCAGGTTTTGAATTCTCTTTTAGATTTGTGAACATCAGTCCACAATTAGAGATGTTTGTAGTTAGGTACCTCCAAATACTCATATTTCATAGGCTTTTTTTTCACATTAATATTCACCAACAGTATCACAAAAGTTCTTTTTCTTTTACATAACTGTAAGCAACAGTAATTCTAGAAACACGAGAGAAAATAAAAGCATAGCAATGTCCACAGTTACAAGAAAAAGTGCACATTACTTGGTCACAATCACAGTCATTACTTGGGAAACTATATGTAACAAGTAGATATAAAATAYCACTGATGCCTTAAACTCATTGTCAAAAATGGAATTACATAAAATTTTGTACATGAAATAAGGCAAATTTAGGAATGCACAAGGAATTTTTTACTAAACAAAAGCTAAACAACAGAACAGATAGTACAATAAGCATAAACTAAAGTACTTTTTTTCTATATACTTAAAAATAAGCCTGCTGTAGTGCACAAAGAAAACACCATTAATGTGTTATCAATATTATAAAATAAGAAATAGAGGGGTTGGGAAGAGTTGGGAGGGGGAGAGAAGAGTTTAATTATCGTTGCAGCTGCATCCATTTACATTTGAGTACAGTTTTAGCTAGGCCTGGGAATTATACAAATCCTACCAGAAGTGTCAATGACCTTCCTCTGTAAGAATTTTGTTTAAATTAAGGAAAACAAAATAAATACACACAAGAGTGCAAATTTTCAGATTGTCACTTGCAACCTCTTAACATTCAGTCATCTACATCCAATCACAACTAGAGGGACTTGTACAGGACAGCAGCAGTGATTATGGAGTTAGATGAGCTCACCGTAAGAAATCAATTTTTCTTTTTTTTTCTTTTTCTCAATGATATGTCTTTAAAAAAAAAAAAACTCAACTCTTTATTAGTTACTAATAAAGCTGCAATATATATTACAGAATGGAGTTGAGAATGGCATGAAAGCAGGAAACGCATGCTTCCTTTGGAAGGTGTTCCAGAGATGACAATTTACAGTACACAGGGGAAGAATTATCCAGCATCGAGAGTTGCTTGTTGTAGAAAGAACATGAAGGTGGGAGAAGGGCACAGTCAAGGGTYCAAGAGAGGAAGGGGGACTTACAATAGCTCCTCAAAACATTTTTAGGACCAGTGAAAAAGTTTACCAAAGTAAAAATGAAAAATCTTGAATGAAAACAAAAATCTTTTGTTTTTTATAAAAATTACATTTTTTTAAAATACAAGATCCTTTTAATTGCAATTGTGTCCTGTAGCAACAGGACATTTGGCAACGTTTTGCCATATACTGCAGCTTTAAGTCCAATGAGTCAGTACCACATTCCACTAATATTGCACGTGGATCTTGAACCATTTTTTTAAAAAAATCATCACAGCATCTTCCGTTTCTCCACTTGTTAGAACGAGTTAATTTCTAGCCACTTTTTTTTCGATATTTATGCTGACACACTAAAAACAAAAAGCTGGACACAGTAAAGTACCTTGGAAATACCAGAGGTTGAAGTTCACTTGAAGCACCTTAACACATCACTTTATGGATCAAGAACAGTGTGGCATTATGGCAATTAACTCTCCTAAAAGACTGTGCAGGAACTGACGTGTGTGCTCTGAGAAATCAAAATGTCATTAGTGGAAACTCTGAGATAAGACCAGGCCAGTTTGAAGGTCTCATGCCTCAGTTCTGCTGCAAAATAAGGTTCTCCAGTTCGTCTGCGGAACGCAATAGAAAGGCAGCCGATTCTCGGTACCCTGCCACAAGCTGCCTCACTGCATTTATTTCGGTTGGACTCAGCTGGGGTCTAGAGCTTGTACTGCTGGAGGATCCAGAGCTGGTTGCTAACTGCCTCTTCATACTGAGATCTGTTGGACCTGCAGATAACAAGGGAAAAGAAGAGAAGCCTTCAGATCTTGCTGCCAGAGACCTTTCAGCACCACAGGTTTGGAGTTAGAAACTCCAATGTAGCAAATCTGCTCATGGTTGAGTACCAGTGAGGAGCAGCCCACGCAAGCGGTAAGCGTTTCATTCCCAATTCCCTTAATGGGCAAAACAGTGGTTATTTTCTATATACCACAGACACCTCTAAAGTKCTGCAAGGTGCTGGCCCACTGCCAGCAAAAACATTGCCCTGAGGGATCCCGGGGCACGGGTTGCTCTCACAGCCAACGTTGCTCCCGATGCCACGTGGTGAACAGGGCAGAGAGCGCATTGCCCGTGGCCTCAAACTGCAGTGGCCACGGTAGCCCCCACGGCAAACTGCAGCCTTGTTTCCATCACAGAGAAGCAAACCTGCATTCTCTCTCTATATATATATATGCATCTTTCACAAGTGTATGTGCTTCAGAGAGCAGGTGGCCAGCCTGTGAATCCCTTCCTGAGGCAGACGATGGGGCGCTCACTCGAACGGCCCCGATGCCGTGTGATCACTTACATAAACAGCCTGTCATGAATGAGCTCYGTTGTGGCCCCAGCCTGGCTGCCACGGCACGGAGGCACGATTGGCAAAGCCGCTCCTTCTGCGGGGGATGAGGGCAGCTGGCAGCGTGTCACAAGCTGCTTCCGAGTCTCAGCGCTGACAAGGGAGCTCGCAGCACGCACCAGGTCGCACTGGCAGCCCTCTCCACCACCGCCCCAGTATGCTGGGCCTTCTCCACCAGCGCAGCCGGCAGCGCCGGCTCCCTCAGCAAAGCCGTCTCCCGTCGCCGGGCTCAGCTCCGCGGGGAGTTTCCCTGGCTGTGTCACCGTAGCCATTGCTCAGCACTGAGGAGCTGCTCGCATTTATCACTTCCTCTTTTCTTTTTATAAAAGATGGCAACCACACCTATCTAGCAGKGCAGATCTGACAAAATACTGTTCATTCATTGCGGTAGAGTAGCAAATCTAGATTTCTTGCAGGCAGAGGATCAGCCTAAGCTGATGCTTCTCCCTTGAAACTGGGATCGAGTTATCTAAAGAAACACCTCTTGCTTTCCTATGAGGGCCATTTCCAGAAATGTCCCTATTCAACTTCACATGGAGAATGCATATCAGTGCTCCAGCTTTCTCAGCACTGGCACATACACTTTGCTTCCTAAGGAGACTGAGTTAATTAAAAATGCAGCACATCAAATACAGAATACAGAATGCACCTATTTATACTCTAGAGTTTCTSCTAAACAATCTCATCAGAATCCCATGAGTCAAAACAATATTTGTTAGCTTGGCCACTATTAGAAAGAGGTGCACTGATCTCCAGACGATGAAGATCTGGTCCTAATAATTGCTAATTTTTCTTTCCCTTATGACTACTCTATGATATAGCTGAAACCATGAAAAATGTCAAGAATGCCATGTTTCTCACTCCCATTAAACTTTATGAAAGTCTCCCTATGAAAGCAGAGCTGGGACTATGAAAAGAAACGACCCAGACAGAACGGGTCCTGTTAGATCCTCTAATTTCCAGCTCCGCAACTACCACGCACACCACTTAGCCTCAAAATTATTTTACCCAGCTTTACCCAGCATCAAGGAACTGATTTTAAAATGTTTTCCAGTGTGCAAAGGATAAATAAAAGGACAATTCGCTCAGTGGATGCACTRCAGTGTGACTGCACCCTACTGGGAAATGATTGTTCCATAAAGAAGCTTGGAGGATACTTCTAGGGAAGTGAAATCTCACCCCGGTCCTGAGAAGAAGGGTGTACAAATCAGAAAACCAGCTGGACTCAATGGCTGTAAGAAGCCATTAAAGACTTCAATATTTACCGAGGCAGTAGTGAAAAAGCTACCTTTGACATATTGAGGGCACTGTGCTCCAGATGAACCTACTTCACGTTCTTTCCCTGACTCTCATTCATGTCATTGCTAAAAACACACAAAGAATATATGGCAGAACAGGGCTTCCGTGGCAGAGCAATTTTTTTTTCCTGTAAGGAAAGTGAAGGGCTTTTCTCCATGGTAATTCAGTTTTCCAAGGGGTTGAATAGGCTGTTAAATTTGTTTCACTCATAAGAAAAAGAAAATAAATAGTTCTCCTTATTTATGTCACTGAGTTTTCCTTAGAAAAATAAAGACATAGAGTAAAAACATTACTCTGAAAGGAAAAGTAGGAGAAGGAAGGCCAGATGCCCTGCAGGCACAATTCAGTGCAACACCTCSTAAGTCTAGAGCCACTCTGATTTACACAAACTGAAGATCTGGCTCTGTATCTCTCAAAGTGTTGATTAACTCTTCAGCTCTTCAGAACACGCATCTTCGAGCCTGCATCCTGCTCTCAGAGGCTTCTGTGGATACTGAGTGTTTGTACAAAAAGGAAATGAGAAACTCGGGTTTTAACTCACCCCAACCACTGCAAACTATTTGATTTAAATTTTTATGTGGTAGGAAAATGGCATTTTTCTTTGTTCCCCAGCTCCTGTCCTCCTGCTCCTTCTCCAAGAAAAGCCTCGAACAAAAAAGTAAAAAGATTCAGACACAGAGAAAAGGATTCGTGGTTGCTATTTTGGGGTAGTAGGTGCCTTCCCAGGAAGGGAAGCTGCTTATGCTGGCAGGGAGCTCAGCAGAAAGAGAACAATCTCTCCTTGATGTGGGAGTAAGAATTTCAGTTCTTGCTTCAGTTATGTGACCCCTGCACCTCACCTTCTTAAAATAAGTAGCTAAGGAAGACAATTCATGAACCTCTACCTTCAGAAGCCAGCACTACAGATGACTAAATCTGGAGCAAGCTGATCAGTTTAGACACTGCTTATTTTAATGACCATCTTCTAATGATTTTTGTAAACATTTTCTTAGTATTCTTAACATTATTTATTAAGCTGCCAATCTCCACAGCACCAAGTGTATCCTTAAACAGAGAAAAGTCTAATCTTAATTATTTTTGTAACAAATTTTGCAGTGTTGGTTTCCTCCACGGTACTCCTGCACATTTTAGCATGTCCTGTCCTATTCCCAAGAAGTTAAAGCAAATAACAAATCCCGAGTGAAAGCATTACCAGGTTCCACAGAGCCAAAGATTAAGCATATCTTGCAAAGACAAAAACAGGACACTTTCTTTTCTTTTTTTTTTTTTCCAGTGCATATGGTTATAACTCAGACTTGTCATCTCCGGTGCTTTCATTAAGCAGTGCAGGGTAAGCAAATCGCTGAGTCAGATTCTTTACTTAATAATATTCCTGAACAGTGTGGGATTGTTCCTCTGCCTCTCGGACAGGCCACCCGATTGACACTTTAACAAACGGCACATTTTACAGGGACAACCTCAGCCCACTCCATCCAGCTAATTTCTCTTGTGAAGTGAAATGGTTCTTGTCGGAATCACATCAAGCAGAATATAGAAACTCTGAAAACTCACTCTTCCTGGGTGCTCAACTATTTATCAAATTAACTGCAGGGAATGGCTGCTATTGAATACACGGTGGGACAAATGGCTTTTCTGTAAAGTGCAAGACTTAAGTTATTGCCTCATGCACTACTATTAGCAACATGATTTATATCAAATTCCAAAATATGGATCAGATGCAGACATGTCATTAGAGACACTGCTAACAGTAGAAAAACAGTAACAAATGTCTCAGCATAATTTCCTTAARAATTGTCTGCTCTCATTGGGTAGCCATCAATTTTAAAGTTGATAATTACTGAGAGAAAAAAAAATGTATCAATAACTTCCAGAATGATTACCACTATTGCAGACAATAATTTAGAATATCAAAAATAATTTTAAAAAGCTGTATTTGTGTTTAACTATGYTTCTACATTTTCACTAACCGTTAAGCAAACTTTTTTATCAGCCAAGATGTAAAAAGCAGTATTAGTTATTTATAGAAAAATACATTTTCCCTACAAAGACAGGAATTACCTGTGCTTTGAAATCTCTCTTACATGTCTTTATTAGTGCACCTACTCTGCTCCCCACTCTTTTTTCCCCACGAGTGGTATTGGGAGTAATGAATAAGAATCAGATTCTCGACTGCTCTGGTAAAATTGAATAGAAACAACCATCCAATATGATACTTTTCTGAATCAGATGTATTTATTTTTGCAAGAATGTTTTATTGTGATATCACACATCTGCCGGTGATTCTCCTTCCCTGCCTTCAAAGAGAGAGCAGATGTGCCTAAGACTATACAAAAAAAAAAAAAAAAGCCCCTAATGAATTGGACCTTTTAAGCTTCGTTTTCTATTTCACACTTTCCCCACTGGGAAAGAGATTTTTGGCTAATTTAGGCAGCAGAAGAAAACTGCTGTGTAGCCTGAGGAAAGAGATGTTAAAACACAAAGATGCCTACAGCCATTGAGCATAATGCATYCTCAGCAATCCACAAACATGCCGGTTTGAGAGGGAAGGATTTCCCAAGGCCTTCCCATGAAACTACTATGAAACACACACCTAGAAAATATATTTCTACTCCATCATGGAGATGAATTATATACCTTGCCATATGGCATGTCTTGCCTTAATGGCAAAGGTAGAAAAATAAGGTACCTTCTGATAGCTATAGACATTCCATCCCTGTTCGTATGGTGGAACCAGAATAATCCCTGTGAATCAGGAATCATGGACAACTACTATGTAAACCTCTTTGTGTCCAGTAATCTGAAAGAGGAGGAAGGAAGAAGAGGAATGTAGGGATGATCTTGGTCTTTCCTTTCTGTTCCCACTTTGATGCCAGGGGAATAGCTGGGGAGAGCAGCCACAGGGAAAATCCTTTCCAGTGCCTTCATCATGGCCAGCACGCTGTGGGTAACCTGGTCTGCYTACATATCGGACATTCTCCAATAGACTTCTGTTTTTCTTAGTTCATATGGCAAGAGTCTCTACTGAATGTGTGTTTATTGAATTTAAATGCAAAGATTTTACAAAGGGTAACARCTTCATTGAATCTGAACAGATTTCTTCTGAGCTATGGCAACTTGCAACTCCCCTTCCATGACCAGGTGCTAGAGTTCCACATTTAAACATAGATAAATGACATGTCTTCCCAATAACCTTTCCCTGAACTGTTGATGAAATAACTCCAAAAAAATATTGAGCCTGTGGCAGACTTTCAATTCAATTTGTTCAGGCTTGGCCCAGTTATAAACAAGGAAAATAATGTTGTATAATGGGAAGAGTGGAAAAGAGATGTGGCAATTTCCTCTCACATGCCTGAATTCACTACATTATAAAACTGTCAAAAATTGAGACACAGGTTTCTGTGAATTCTCTCATTGCTCTTATCAGTGATATCATTCTCTAAACATTTTTATGCCTGCGTTACAGTTGAAGATCATCACACAGATGTGTGGTGAGGCACAGGGGAACGGTATTGTGCTCTGCATCCAGCTTCCATAACCTCACAAATGAATCACAAAATCCCAGAATGGCTGAGGTTGGAAGGGACCTCGAGAGATCATCTAGTCCAGTCCCTCTGCTCCAGCAGGGACACCCAGAGCACGGGGCACAGGGCGGCATCCAGGCGGGTTTGGAGACCTCCAGAGAAGGAGACTCCACAGCCTCCCTGGGCAGCCTGTGCCAGGGCTCTGTCACTCTCACGGTGAAGAAGTTCCTCCTCACATGCAGATGGAACTGCCTGGGTTTCAACTTATTCCCTTTACTCCCGTCCTGTCACTGGCCACCACTGAGAAGAGCTTGGCCCCTTGCATGAAGACCTGCATAATGGCCTGAGCTGTAGTAAGTACCTGCAGCTCCTACCCACAACATCTCTGTTGCCTGCACTGGGAGGCACCTTTCCTCCAGACACAGGCACTGGTGGRCAAGTGCTCAGCCCTGGTCTCTGTGGCATGGGCACCCCACTCACCTGGGCTCAGTCTCACCTCTGGAGCCTCCTCGAACCAGTCTGCATCTTCAGCAGGGCTGCACTGCACAGCTTCACCACGGCTGCCCTCCTCATGGGGATCTAAGCTGCTTACTGCCAGCCCACTAGCTACACTAGAATAACCTGACATTCTCAAGGGAGTGAGGGACCAATATACAAATTTAACTTCATGCTAATCAACATTTGTGCCTGGTACTGSAATTAACTCCATTATATGTTAAAAAAAACCCAGCAAGGTAACCTAGAGGTAACCTCAAAACTGTATATGTGATGGAGTGGGGAGCTCCTACAGTACAAAGCTGGGCTGATGTGGTAGACAAGTCAGGAGGCTCAAGTACCAGGCAGGTGGGTTTTCATCTAGACAAGTGGTCAGGCTAGAAAGGAGAACAGCTTGGAAAGGGCAGCCCACGTGGACCTCTGAACAGAGTGGGGACAGGGCAGTGGTGCAATGGGATGCCAGCAACTAGAGACCAGAAATGGGGCTGTCACAGTGTAGAGGCCTGCAGTGAAAAGGGAGGCTGAGAGAGAAGCCTCTTAGGGCCACGGATTTATCTGCTTTGTGGCTTTATCTGCTTTTTGTGGCTGAAAGACTCACCTGAGTTGGAAGGGGATTGGACATTTGTAGTGCCGGGGATGCAGTGCTGAGTCACGGCTGTAGTGGACGTAGGCTGAAGATCTGTGTGGAGAAATGGGGACAGAACAGCTGCTTTTTCTTGTCATGCCACAAGGGAAGGTTCTGCATTGGCAGTCTAATCAGAAATTAATCTGAAATGTCCTCTCTTTGCAGAGGTAAAGTGAAAAGACAGAAATTTCTACCCAGAAGATCAGACAATAACACAGACAGAACAAACCCCAAATCATCTTCAGGAAACCAAGCAATGGCAATAGAAAGAGTCGCTGCCCCCTCTTAGGAAAAATGGACCTCTGASAACTACGTGGCTGCAAAGAGAAAGGCTCCAACAAGCCAGCTCCAGCTTCAAAGACTGCTGGCCAGCTGACAGATGCACCAGCAGGCCTCTGAAAAGTGCTAGGACACCAGGAAAACATGAGAAAAAGGTGATCCTGTTTCTGTCAGGGAAGGTTTGGGCAGCATGCAGGGACTTGGCCAGTTTCTGGTGGTGACTAAATGTCTCACTCCCAACAGAGCAGTTGCCTCCTGCCCTCGGGTGGACACCTCTCCTCGCCTTGGAGCTTTTCTGTTACTGCTTCTGCTTCTCTGCTCTAGCCCATGGACAAGCTGACAGAGGCTCCTTCAGCCCACAGATTTCATGGTGACAGGGTGCAGTTTTCGAGGTGGGATGGACTGGCCTAGAGAGTTAAAAGCAGCAGGGAGAAGACTTGGTACTTTAAGCTCAAGCTTTTACCCACTGTGTCTTTTTTCTTCCTGCCTACAATAAAGAGGGGCCATTGCACAAACTGTTGGGTTCTGCTCACACGCATGGAGCAGCTGCATGGAGCTCTGCTCTCCCATACAGAGTTGTGTAAGGAGCTTATTATGAGTTTGCAATTAGCAGTGTGGAAGAACAGGCAGAGGAGGGAGGCACTTGCACCAGTGGGTAGAGACATGTCCCCAGTGAGAGGCACCTCACAGTTGGCTGGGCAGATAGCTAAGGTTGAAAGGTGGGATCATAGCAGGGATGAACCTTACAGCAGAGGAATAACATAAATCAGCTGGATACTAGATAGGGCACAAAGTCATTATATTAATGTGGGGAAACATCCAGAAATAGGTATTCAATCAGCCAGCTTTAGCTAGCCTTTGCCACCTCTCCTTTTCATTTTAGCAGACAGACAAAACCAGACTGTATTTGTTTATACACACATCCTGGCTGAGGTGTAGATTTATTTTTACGCCAGGAGAACATTTGTAAACATGACAAGAAACACGATGGGTTACTAAATTGAAAAGGAAATGTGTTCTCAAAATTACTTCTTAGGTCCTGAAAACAATTCAGACACAAATACTCTACTCTGCAGAGAGGGAACTCATTAACACTTCTAAAAGCCTTGCATATATTTGGAACAAGAGTCCCTAGAGAAGGGCACTGGTTGCAAACAACTGTAGGGTCTGTCAGGAGGGCAATAGTTAGACCCAGCTGCAACTCCATCCACTCCTCTTACTTCTATGAAGAAACAACAAATATTCATGGACATGYCGAGAGGACAGACAAATAAATGGCCTCCAAATTCTTCTTTTGGTGCTATAAGGAGACCAGCTAACAGAACCAGAACATTGTACACCCAGTAGCCAATAGGTAACCAAATTGTCTGATTCTGTGGCAAGGAAACCAAGAAACTGATAGAGTTGCTTTTCCACCAGTTTCTTAATGAGCTTCCTGAAATGGCAGGAAGAATTCAAATAGCTCATTGGCAGCATCAACAGCTGGCCTGCAAATGCTGGTACCTGGACTTGTGCASTGTGCAGGAGCCGCACGCCTGTGCCTTGGATCCTCCAAGATCCCTGYGGAGAAGGCGGGTGCCCTTGCACAACGCTCCAGCTGTGCACAAYCCCCAGGACAACTCCTCAACAGGGGCCGGACAGAGTAAGGGGACCTGCTGACAAATTTTCCAATTTCTGGGCATATCTCAATAAGGAAACTGTCAGCCTCTACAAGGATTACACCGGCTATATACCAGCTGTACCACACTGGAAGTGCAGAGCAGGACATAGTTCCCTGGCTGCATTAGTTGTGCAGCATCAGGCAGCTCAGGATAACCACTGCTGGGTCTACAAAACCCATCTTGTCTTTTAATGACAATAAAGCTCTGGTGTCCTCCACAYTAAAGACACATGGAAAATGGTGCTTCTAATTTGTGACCTTAAGTTTGTACCTCATTTCTTAAAATGGCATACTGAAATGACATAGAATAATTCTACCCTTAGGTGAAAGAGAAAATGCCCACTGTTTTCAATGGGAACTGGCTGGGACCTTCTCCGCCCACAGTATAAAGACAATTTTAAAGTTCTTGTGTGTTTTCCTAAGAAACCTGATTTCCACAGCCTGTCTTACACGTATGCAAATATTTGGTCAGCAATCATAGTCAATGCCTCAGATATATTCTCCATGCATATGGAAGCAATTCGGATCATCATTCACTCTCTCTAAGTCAAACACTTTTGACAACTAAAATATTGTCTTTTGAAAGCCTTTTGAAAACTTAAGGTAAACCATTCACAGACCTGTGTGGATTTTCTGGGCGAGCTGGGAAGTGGTCGTGTCTGACGGTCACCAGGAGACCACATCCCACTACCTGCTTGCAGGCTGCAGCCCTGATAACTTTTGAAAACTGCTTAGCACATTGAAAACTGAGGCTGTAGCTGAAGTGTCTGGCCAAGGCCAGCTCATGTACCTAAGCAGCACTCTCCTTAGCCAGACAAATCAGCCAGGTCAAAAGAGCAGGGATTTCCCTGTCCTCTGAGACAGTCCTTAAATCCTGCTCTCGGAGGCAAGAGACCCTCAGCCTTCCAGAGTAATCACTTTTCTCTGACAGACAGACAATACTCTTGTTTGTCAGAAAGGGCACACCATTTCCTTTCCTCTAAATTCACATGAAATTAATTTGGGGACTTTTTCAAACAAATGAAACAATACATTTATATTTGTTTACTTGAGATGTTTGCATAAGAAGAAGGTAATGTTGTCTAAACAAATGATGCTTTTTTTTTCAGAGGGACATACAGTCTCCTGGTGACGCATAATCACCTGCATCTTTCTCAGTTTATGGTATAAACCATGGGTCAATTTCTCATTTGACATTGGTTACGCGAGATTCTCATCTGCAGTAAAKCAGCTAGAGAGACTATCCTGAAATCCAGTCTAATTTACTTCCATCACAGAATGTGGCATTTAGTATTTTCAGACTGCAGCCACAAAGACATTAATGGCCTAATTTTGTCATTGTATAGGAGAGAACAATAATGACAGGGTAGTCTTCCCATACTCCTGGATATTTGCTAAAGATCTAACCCAGTTTTTTTACTCAGTTTTATTAGAGATCCAAGGTATAGTCTGTAAACCAGCAGTCCTTGAAGGGGGACAAATATCCCACGGGCAAGTCTTTTTGCTCAGCAGTAGCTATTTGTGGGATTCTCTTCCTGCTCATTATCTGATGACAGCCTCTGGATACTGAACCCCTTGGACTAGCTCTTTGTACAGCCGGGGGAAACGTACCCAGGAGCACACAAACACACGGGCACGTTTTGTGGGAAGCTCACCGGTGCTAGAAGCATCGTTGAGATTTAGCAGCCCACCTCCGAGCCCTCTGTAGCTATGGTAACTGTAGGTCCCGTTGCCATTGATGTACAACACCTCCTGCGTGCTGGAAACGGCTGACGTTGAGTAAGCGACCTGGGCTGGCTCTTGTTTGTACTGTTTGTCAGCTGGAGCAGCCTCATCCTGCAAAAAAAAAAAAAGACAAAAACATGAGGTTTTCAAGTTATTTTTACGTTCCGCTTTGCAYGAAAGAGACTTTTCCATTTTTAGGGCTTCTCATCCATTGCTTTCAGAGCAGTAGAATGCACATTAAATAGGCACAGACATATTTCTGATTGACAGCTGATTAGAAATAGTGGATACAGGTAAGGATACAGGCTTCCCATGAAGCCTGATAATGTTTATCTATTGTGCTCCACTAGCGAACTGTTTTCCAAAGGGAGCAGATGCATCCAATCTCCTCCAAATACCAAACTCTAACTAGAAATAACATGTGAAGGAGCAGAAAACAAAGCAAAAAAAAAAAAAAAACCCAAAAAACAAGCATTGCCTTATGGCTACAAGAGTTAGTCTTCTGAGTTGAAGAATTGTCTTTTTCAGTGAAGTAAACCAAGCCAGAACATTAACTGCATCTCAAGTGCATTGCTCCCAGAAATGAGGAGAGAAGGAACAGCACAAAACTAACCCACTGTTGATGTTTTCAGAGGACTGAAAGGGCGAAATGGAAAGATAGCTCTACAAACATGACCTGAAAGCATCTGTGGTTGTGTGTGAGCAGGGACTGTACGCCAGGGGTTCATCTCATGCTGTTTGCCTCCTGGATGTTTGCATATAAAGTAGGATACAGCAGAATGGCCTTCTAACCTCGCCTTAAAGATGATCATGTTTGAGGGGAAAACACAAAAACACAACTCTCTTTCCTGTGTCTGTTTTTTCAGCTATTGCTTAGACCACCTCACCTCCACTCACGATCACAGAACGTCTCTGTGGCAACCCTAGCAATGACTCAGGTGAAAAAGAAAGCATCAAGAAAAGGCTTAGTGCATTTCAGTAGCTGAAAGGAASGAAGACTGTAAGTATGCAACTGTTCAGCTCACAACGTGGATTTGAGTGTTGAAGTTTGTTTTAGTCTTCATTAGTAATTGATTTTTTTTCTTTACTTTTAGACTTTTTTAATGGGCTTGATTTTGCATTATTATCTGGTGAAAATTTATTTCAATGATTTCATATAAAATGTATCCATAAAACATCAGCATTTAAAAACACAGGTCAACTCAGAGTAGTAGTATCTCCCCTTTATGTAATATTTTGTCTGTTTTATGCCTCTCCCTTTAGCACAACCATTTTATGGTTGCTAAACATATCCAAATTATTAAGAATGTTATAAATTATCTTAAGGCCTTATTACAAARTATAATTAAAAATAAGAATGTATATATGAGTATAGAAGGATTGCGAAGTTGCCTAAGTATTCAATTTCTGTGTCTAAGCAAAAAAAAGAAAATCTCAAATAGCTTCCATTTTTCTATTAGGAATAGAAATCTGTTCCATTCCTCAAAAATGAGAGTATCAATTTTCTTAAATGAAGGGATGCCTGTCTTTGAGTTATTTATTGGTTAAAGAGACTTGGACACAACTGAGATGTCTCACAAGAAAGAATATATATTATTAACAGAAATGTTAATATTTAATACAGAACAGGGAGCCATCAGCTAATTAATTCCACAAACAATTAGAATGAGACCCTTTGGGCACTAATACAGATTGAGGCAAAGCTTTGCACTCTTAGAAGAATTGGCCAATACTGAAGTCTCCTACGCATTTTCTTAATATTAGAGCCAAAAAAAAATGTTAAAAATTACCATGCATTTTTGCCAGGAATCCAACTTCAATATCACTTACTTTTTATCTTCAGAGGTCACTGCTGTCTCTTAYAGGATATATTATATTCGATTTGAAAATATTGATAGGCTATAAAATAAAATAGTATCTTGCCAAGAAAGCTTAAATCATCATCCCAAGTCCTTAACATTTATAAGTCTTGCGTCTTTGTTTCTAAAAGAAGACGACCCCTCCTGCCACGGGCCCAGCGGGGGCCTCTCGGAGGCGGCGCTGGGAGAGGGGCTGGCGCTGGGAGGAACCGCGCAGCTGCCGGGGCTACGGAGCGAGCCATCGGAGAGGGCACGGACGCTCCGTGGGCATCCGTGGGGCAACGCACGTGTCCTGAAGGAGAAGGCCCGTCCCCACGGGTCCCCTGGAGCTCGGGGCTGCCGGCAGCCTCCTCCAAACACGACGCTTCTTTCTCGAGCGCAGGCCACGCTCCTGWACCCGGACGATGAATTTGGTGCCAGGCCCTGCAGATCTAGAGCGTGGGCCTTGTCCAGGTGCTGCGCACAGCACTCCAGGATGGCCACAGTCAGCACAGTCAGGTCTTGGACACCTTTCTCCAGCGCTTGCCGAGCTGACGTAGCTCTCTGCTCACAACCCTGCAGGGTTACGAACCTTCACCTCGTGCAGGGGCCGGGCACTCCCCCATTTACACTCCTGTGGGGTTCAAACATCTTCCAGGAATCTTTTGTACCTCAAGAAGAGTAACTTTTTTCCTTTCTCCTCGCACCCATACTGATGATAAGTGAGTTTCTCTTGCAGAGAGAGAACCTGAATGCAAGAGACACTTCTGCAGACCTGACATTCACTCTGCACAGATGCATTTTCTTTCTGCCTCTCATACTTAATTGCCTCTGCTTTTAAATTAATGTAGAAATTAAGCAAGCATAGTTTTGAGGTTTTTTAATATTCTGTGCTAGTTGTTCAGCACTTCATGCGGATAAAACTTTCCCACTTGCATTTATATTGCCAAGGCTTAATAAATTATTTAAAATACATTTTTTGATGTTTTAATTCTGTAATAACCAGTAATGATTAACTAACCATTTATTGTCAAGCATAACCTAACTAACGGGAACACACACTGGTCTAATTCATAACATTTATAAGACTTGTCGAGTATTAAGTAAGCATTTTAAAGCTATTTATAATTTACCTTTAACATGAAATATGGTGCACATAAACAAGGTGCAGATAAAATATTTGTCCAACTACAATTTGACATACACAGTCTTCATTTATACATGGCATTGGAAATAAGTCATACTTCTAACATTTCTCTTCTTTACTTTGGAAAAGAAGTAATCTAGACCTTGAGCATTTTTTTTTTGGAAAATGTTGGGAAAAGCCGAAATGAAAAAACAGCAATATCAAAGCTCCTTTCTGTTCCCCATCTTTTTCACATTGCCACCTCCACAATAATAGAAGAAATTAAGATTTTGCCAAAAGAAAAACCTCTGCCAATGACAGTCCACTGAGTTTTGATCCCATATATTCAGCAGTGTCAGAAATGCAGGCTATTAAAACTGCCATTAATGGCAGTTAAAACTGGCATTAATGGCAAAACTGGCAGGCAAATGCAACTGCCATTAAAAGCGCTGCAATTTCTCTGTGTCCAGTGCATGTATATCCCGAAAGGGAGGGTTTCTGCAGACCAGCTCACCTGGACAACACTGACCAACTGAAAACCTGACAAAACCTTTACAACAAGGTTATAAACGTTAATGCTTCAAAGTTGGCCACATGCGTGACGGCCACTTGCTGCCTCTATAAAATGCCATGTCTGCCAGCCTGACAAACCAACAACTCTGAGAATTGGAACTGCCCCCAGTTCGAGGTGAAAGTTTCTACTCAATTAGAAGAGGAAGAAAAATAAGTAAATATTTTTGCCTTATGTTGCTTAATGCTTTTTATGTACATTAAACTGACAAAGTGGCTCGCTTGTTCTTGTCAATAAATGCTTCTCTTAGAATACCGCTTTGATGCTGGAATTACTTAAATGCAGCTTAGTCTTCAAACAGACAGACAAGCCAGGGACCCTATATTTGCATAAGGCCTTCTATTTTCTTCAGCAGAGGGAGAAAAAAAAAAGTCATTCACATGAAAAAAATAAACCACACTTTCATGTGCTTTACAAAAAGTTTAGCCTCAATAGCATGTAGTGTGGTTTTAGAAGAACAGAGATAATTTTTCAAATATTTTCCTACATTTGCCCATTTGGAATAGACCAATTTATTTTACTTTTGATTTTAAAATCATAGAAATAAACAGAAGTACATGATAAAACCGTGTAGCGCTTTTCAAAGGATGTCCAATTATGACTCACAATAGCCCTGCTAGATGGGACTTTTATCGTTGCACTTCAGATGGTAAGATCCAGAAAAGAAAGGGAACCTTCAGCTAAGATTCAGACAGAAAGGGAACCTTCAGCTACCTAATATGTAAACAGCCTGAATTCTGCAACCACAACATTTTATTATTATTATCAATGACCTAAGAAGCTCAAATTCCATCAGGGGCCATCCCAGGGGATATCCCACTGAACCTGCAAGGAGGATCTTGCAGAATCCAGCTCTGGCTGGAGAGCCTTTCATGAAGGGAAGCAGAGCAGGGCTCTCCAAGAGGGATGAGCCACTGGACTCCTGGCTTTCACTGCAGGGTCCGTGAGCTGGTGAGTCCTCAGAGATCCACACATTTCTGTCATTTCCTCTCCCCACAGACTGATACATTACCCTATCCTATCTCTTTTCAAATGTGGGTCATACTGGCTCTTCCAAATCCCTGACTCCTCATCCTTGTTTCTTAAGTTCTGTCTCCAACCTTCACCAAAACTGTAGTCTCCTYGCCTAGAAAACCTTCATCCCTTCCTTCCAAGCAGGTCTCTTGCTTCATGACCCCAAGTAGCTTCAGCAACTCAGGTGCTTTCACTTCCCAATTTGAATTTAATCAGCATTTCACCCGCTTATGATCCTGTCTCAGGTTTCTCTTTCCACTTAGCCTCTTTTAAATCTCATAATTCTCAGAGTCCTRTCCCACAAGGATCAAAGCCATCTTCCACAATTAAGTGGGACAGCTCCTGTCTCAGTCCACATTATTTTTCCTCAGTCATATTTTGACCCTTTGACACCACTAATTCTTAATTTAATAGTAGTTCCTAGTTACATTTTCCATTATGCTCAGTCAGCCTCAGCTACTCAGTTCCCAATCCAGGCCCATTTCRTAATCTCACTTTCCCTCCATCTCTTTTCATCACTGATCCCATCATGGTTCACAGCCCCAACACTGACCCCCCTTCC